CTTTTTTTTTTTTTAAAAAAAAAATTAATGTTGTTGTTCTTTAACGATTACACAACCATACATTTTTCTTTTATTAACATATTCACATAACTTTCATAGTATTGAAATTTCAACTATATATACGTTAGCATGATACGACTCTTCTTGTACGTGGAATTTCGATTGTTGTTCATGTAACTAAGTGCGTGCGACAAAAACCTACGACGACCCTCTAGTTTTGGCATAGTTTCAATCTCCAAATTCACTATCACTTGATAAAATGTAATAGTCTCAAAAGTTTAAACAAGCAACAAATTTAAGAAAATCAAGATTATAGCATGAAATAATCTAAAAAGTTTCACATGATCTATCAAATTAACACACACAAAAAAAAAAAAGCAATAATTTGAGAAAAATCAAGATTTTTTGTAGCTATAGTGAAAGTTCCACAATTAATGCAATGTTACTAAATAAGACACTCTTTAACTCAAATTCCAACTATTTTTCTCTCAGCAACATGACCGAAATACTCCTAAGTGGGGACAAAGGCGGCCGGCTACTAAAATACGACCCTAAAACCAAACGGCAAACGGTGGTCCTAACCGGGCTAGCCGTGCCAAATGGGGTGGCCGTGAGCCGAGACGCCTCGTTTGTGCTAATTGCGGAATACATTGCTAGCAGAATAAGAATATTTTGGCTCAAGGGCCAAAATGCAAATACTTCAAACATTTTGGTCCGACTTCCGGGCAACCCGGACAACATCAAGAGGACAAAATCGGGAGATTTTTGGGTGCCCGTGAATATACAAAATTTGCTGCCCGAGCTGATTAGTTTCCCTTTGGGGCAGAGGATTAGTGAATTCGGGCAGATTTTGGAGACCGTGAATTTCTATGCAGAGTATAACGCGACGTATATTACTGAGGTGCAAGAACACTTGGGATCTTTGTATGTAGCGTCGGTTTATACGGATTTTGTGAGTGTGTATAAGGGTTTGAGGTGTTAGAAAAAACAAGAAATTGTAAATTTGGAATTAGTGTTTTTTACTTGTTTGTTTGTTTTTGGTATTTATGAATATTATGTGTGATTATTGTATTCCAAATTTTGAAATTTATCTAATCTTGAGGAGTAACTAGTAAGTGCTTGTTTGATACAAGAAACCTAGACAAAATTCAAATATTTTTAATTCAATTATTATTTTTTTTTAACTCAACCTTACTGTTCTCACACTGTGAGTTGATACAATTTTTTAAACTATAATTATGTCATTGTGAGTGAAGCTTTGTGGTTAGTATTCTAAAAGATGGAAATTAATATTTTAACTGGCTTATTGAATTAATTGATTATTCAAAAATATTCCATAAATAACTAGATTAGATGGCTGGTGGGCAGAAATAACCAATGTCACAGTTTTGAATTCCAAAAAGCTAATAAGTTTTTCAAAATTAGTGTTGTAGATCCAACAAAACTATTTTAAATCACTACCCACCAAACAATAAAATTAGTATTACAAGACAACCCCGTGTTAGATATGTTTAATATTATATTCTGTTATGCATGACTATCTAATATAAGTCCTAAAATTGGCTGATTTATATAGAATATTAAAAACAAAGTTTATAATTTTTCTTTAATTATATTCTCAAATAATCAATATGTTTTGGAAAAACAATATATTTACAAAAAGATGACTTAAAAGTAATGGATATAAACTTGATGCTTTCTAGTGATAGATCATTTCATTTAATTAAATAAATCATCTTATAAAATGACACCAAAATGTTATACTAGGATCAAATAAAAATAAAATTTGTTTTGATATCACAATTTGAATTACAACTTATTCACAATTTGTCATGATATCACAACTAGAAGCACAACTTTTTAGCATTCATTACTAAATTTATACAATTTATTTTACTTAACTTGTTATTGTAATAATATTTTTTAATCTAAATTGAAAATCAAATATTTTCTGTGTTCATGATGACTGAGTGAATTGTGCTTGCTTAAACAAAAAAGAAGGTCCACCAGAAATTATTTTCCAATTTTTTCATACTAAATTTTGTTGCTATTATTATGACCCTCTAAATTCTCTTTTTCCACTATTTATTTCTCTCTCAAAGGCCCAACACTTCTCTAGCCTTATATTTCTCAGCTTTTGACCTCCTTGTGGCCTCTGCCTATTTCCTCTGTTTTTGACCTTTTTTTCTTTTGGGTACAATGTTTTTGACCTTTTTTCAACACTATAAAACTCCCCAACTTTCTTCAATAATCCCTGCTTTTTCTACT